CTTGTTGAAACAGCCTCCTGCCGGTTTCCTTGGGCCAGCGTTTGGCTGTTTCCTCACGCCTAGTTTGCACCCGACCCTGGCAGGTCCATGACGCGAGCAACCAGGTCCCTGGCGTAGATTCTTTTCGTCTCACGAGCACGCGACATCTCGCGACTCTTGGCGGCTGGCCCCATGCGGTTTGACCGGTGCACGATCGAAGCACAACTGTGAATCAAGCCTCACATGCGAGTCACGGGGGGAAACCTGCCCTTGGGACAAAGCTCATTTTTACAAGCAGTCAATTCTCATGCATCAGGAAAGAAAATGTTAGACATGTGTTACGGGCACGGCCGTTTGTTCCATCTGACTTGAGATCAAAGTTTGATTGCGCCGGGCGCAGGAGATCGCAGGCGCGTCTTTCATGCGATTCGATCGAACCTTTTGAGATCCAAGGAAGTTTTTCTGTAGCTGGTGAGCAGCGTGCGAAATGGCCAGGAAGTAAACCAGGCTATTAGCAGTTGTTGGTGTTCATTGGTACCTAACTACCTGTGATACCTGTCGCGTCAATCAGGCCCAAAAAGTGTAGTCACACGGAAAATCCTGCAGCAGTTCGTAGTTCGTAGGTAGTTTGTGAATGTTCTGGGAACCCTGAAGGGATTCTAGCAAACGGGTTCCAGCTTGCACCAAAGGACAATCATTTGGTATACGCATCCGAAAGCAACCCAGTAAACCCATTCCTGGGTCCCGGGAGTGGTTTGGGCGTGGACAATGTCGGGACATCATTTTGGGGATTTGTATCCAAGCATTCAGGATATTTGCGTCATGGCAATATCGTCTGCGTGGAATTGGGCCGATGCCGTAGAGTTGATCTGCCGAAGAGCGACTTGGCTGACTCACGTCTGATCCTACCGGCTTTGGGCTTGGCCGAATTTGTGGATTTCAGTCTAGCCACTTTTGAGGACACTCTATTCTGCATGAGACTTCATAGCCATCCAAAGACCTCCTCAACTGGAATTCATTCCGCATGTCTGTATTTGTTCTCTGGGCATGTTCTTTGGGTTGCTACGCAAACTCCAGGGAAGCCAGCGTGTCTCTCATGTTGGTCCCATACTCCCTCCCAGGTTCGGTTTCATAGGAAGCTGCATCTTCTGCCATGGTCAGGGACCCGCCAGAGACGCCCCAAAAAAGGCACCCGAAAGATCCTTATTCGTGAAGGGGTCTTGGACTATAGGATCATATGGGATCTTAGGAAAGCCAAGGGCCCGCTTCGGCGAGAGCAGCCAACTCGAACCTTCGTGAGCCGAACACCCGTGCCTCGGAACGGCGGGGCCCGGGGGTTCCGCAAGCCGTTCCAGGGACGAACGCATCATGGGTCGCTTGGGATCAACGTTGGGAACCATCTTACGACTTTGGTGTTGGACATTAACGTGTTTTCTCCAAAATGTACTTTTGGGCCTCGGTCGGAAATCGTTTTGAACCTTCAGCAAAGATTATGAGTGTAAACGCTTTGCACTGCCCGCCTCTGCCGCTGGCAAGAAACGACGTTCATGCCCATGCGTGGTGGCACTCAAGGACCCGTAGTCCAAGGAAAAGGGGGCTGGGGCAAGGTGACCTTCCAAGCCACAGCTGCATGGCTTGGCTGTAGCCGAGAGTACATCGATGCGTGGCTAGCGCCGAGATCCCGATGATCTAAAGAGGGGTCTGACCGGTTCCCCAGGCCGTGGCAAATTTTGAGGACGCCGCGTTACGTAGTGAAGTCAACAAGTCAGCAAGTAGTGAGTGAGGAATTCCCAAATGGTTGGCCCTGACTTGGGCTCAGAAACACAAGTGTGCATCTAAGTTGGTTCATGCTGTACTTGCTTAGATACGCTCCGTTTCTCCAGTGCCAAGGTCCTGCAAGGTCGGTTTCCCTTTCCAAAGAAGTTAGATCCGACCCCGAGACCTGTCCGATCAGACACGGTTCATGGGTGCTGGGGCCTTTGTTTTCCGCTTACAGCGCTCATTTGTCAATTCTCGTCGATTTGCACAGCTCCCGCAATTCCTGCTCCACGTACGAGGTTGGTAAGTCATGCAAACCGACTGCACCTGTCGGCAGTTTCGCCAGACACTTGTGCGGAACTCCCTGGGCACTTCCAGGGTTCCCACTCAATCTCCCCTTTTCTTTGTGGGAGAGATGTTGGGAACCCTGTTTCCTACCAGAGAATGGGCTGTCCTTAGCGAAATTCAGTAGATTATTTTCCGAGTCGGCTTACACCGAAATAATCATCTCCTACTGACATATTTTATCCGTCAGCGACACCAAATACGGAAACGGGCGCACCAACTGATACTAGTTTCTTTGTGACACTTCTTTCCACGGGACAACCCTGAATTCTTCTCGAGCTCTTTCCCAGCCAGCCTTGAGGAAAGATCACGGCGGTTTTTGCTGGCCAGGGCGGGCCATGATGTCAAGCCGCAAGCCCTGAATAGTTCCTGGTAAAAACCCAGCGAGAGCAACCACCGACGCGTAGCGACATGCGGGAAAGCCGGGCTCCATGATGAGGGTTATTTACTTCGAGACTCATGAATTTGAGGGTTCATCCGGAGGACCGCATCAATGAGAGGAATCACCTTGAAATTCGCGGTTTCCAGCAAATGTCCTGCTCTTGCTTCAGCTGAATGATCGATTGCTCTCAGCTGCGTTGCCCTGCCTTTGACTTGGCTCTTCAACGAGTACAGCACCTTGAACAGGGACAGAGTTGCCAATGTTTCCCCTTTCGGCGGTTTTGGGCACCACATGTCGGTTGCCATGAAGTGACTTTCCTTTCGGTGGGGTGATCTGCAATGGGGACGTATCGGATAAATTAATTGCTTTGACATTCGTCTCCGACGAGTGGCCCACCCTGCCTGCATTTGTGAGGATGAGTTGCAAGGAATTTCCGGGCTTCGTTGACCCAGAACCCTTCTTGCTGTGTCAGTAAAATAACGATGCATGATATTTGTGATGTATGTACATATATACCCACGTGCTTGCATGCATATATAGCTATGTATGATATGCAGATCAATAGATACATTGATATGAATGTGTGTGTGTGTGCGTGTGTCGAAACTGAGGGGACCAAATGAAGCAGGTGCGTTCTTGTTCCCCAGAAAAGGCGCAGTTGCCCCTCCTTCTCCCAACAGGGAAACCTTTGACTTAGACCTTTTCCCGTCCAAAAACATCAAGCCTTTTTCACTGGCCAAATATTTTGATCGGTGTTCGAAGAAGAACCTGACTTGAACGAAAAGCAATCCTTTTCACTTGCTAGGTCATCGTGTTTTCGTTCAGAGAAAACATTCACTCCTGTCTTTGCTTTCTGGCTATTTGCGATGGACGAAAGCTGGCAGGGACTGGCAGGTGGCAGTACCACCATTCAAAGAGCAACCAATCAGTTGGGAATTTCCACGCACCAGGCAGTTTAGCAGCTGAAGCCAGAATAGAAGTGGGGCTCTTTTTTTGTACATCCCCTTGGACCGGGAATTGGTCAGGAAGAGCTAAGAGTTTGAAAGTGTGTGCCTTTGGGACGCAAAGAGACTCCCTGTAGGCCGGAAAGTGGAGTCCTGATTGTTCAGTCATATCCATGTGAGAGAATCGCTTAAGTGATAAGCTACTTGGGGATGCTACCATTCTTCGCATGGTCATGCAAGGCTAGTGTGTAAAATGAGTTGACATGGCATGTTCACTAAGTAGGGGCGTAGGTTTTGGTTTGGGGGAAAGTGAGTGTCAAACATTGTGACTCAGAAGAACAGCAAGAGGGGCTTTTGCATGACTCCGATTGCCTGAAGCCGGGCTGAAGAGTTGCAGATGATATGCAAAAGGTCGAGACTTGCTTTGCACCACAAGCTCAGACCCACAGTGCCGTTCGACACGTTGCCTGGGGGGAGTGTACCAACATGTATTTTAGAGGTTCTGTTGGGTGGAAATACATGTATTTTGAACTGGTTTCGGTTTGGTTTTCATAGGGTAGAGTTAAGTTGTGGTTTTTCTGTACCCCAGATGACACAGGTCCAGTGTCCTTGGCCAGTTTGGTTAAACGAGCTCGCCCATGAGCCCTTGTGGTTATTGTAATTGGTGCAAAACAGGGTTTGTGGTTTGTGGCTTCTGGTTGAAAAATATTCATGGGCACATTTTTCCCCCAAACGGCACCTAGTGTTTTCTGCCTTTCTAGCTTCGGGATATCACGAATGGAAAGCTGACGCGCAACCTGCCAGTGAACATGAAGTTGCCTTCTGCATGCAACTCTTTGCTCCTTTGGCAGTTCCTACAGATGATAAGAACCATAGGGCAGACGTGGGCAGACCATTGCCCTTGTCCAGGGCTATTACCCCACAATGGACTCCTTTCAGCGGAAGCCTTTTGTTTCACACCAGTGATTTGCGAGGTTGGAGTTGGGTATTTGGACCCGCGGGTCCTATGAGCGTGGGGTGCCATGAAAAACCCCTGGACAATGACCAGCACCTCTGAACGACTGGTTTTTGGACGCTTGGGGGGTGGACATGCAAAAAGGGGTCCTTGGGAGGTTCTCAAATTGTTTGTTCACTTTGTTCCCCCTCCGAGCGGTCCGCAAAGAGCCCAAAAAGTTTGAATGCTGAGATTCGAGGACAATATCTGTCCAGTGCTCCTCCAGCGAGTGCCCAGTGCTAGTAGGCTCGCTCCCCTGCGCGCTTGCTCAAGCTCACGAGTCAGAGCTGCCGAAGGTGCCAGCTATGGGCTGCTAGTTGGTTCCAATGTGTGGTTGACGAATCAACCAAAGGACATGCCTTTTTCTGACCTGCAACGAGTGGTTGGATCTTTGCCCCCATGCTGGGCACGTCGGGCTTCATACCTGGCAGACAAAATCAGTTGTAATCAGTTTGGACTGGTTGGCCAATCTGAAGTCATCAGAATGAGCATGAGAGTCATGTTTAAGGTTGCTCCTCCAAGCAGTGATCCCAAAATCAAAGTTTGAAGGGTTGGGTCCGACCGCGTACGAGACGGCCAAGAACCGCAACCCAGCGCCATGCCAGTTGTCCCCAAGAAAAGGCCGCCGCCTGAGGTGGTTCCATGTCAGCAGCGCCGCACAGCAATCATGGTAACCTAAGCCCCTCAGTAAGACCTGTGTAAGGGGCTGTGCCAAGGCGCTTGTTGTTTTTGGTGGGGTTCAATATCATTCAAAAGCAACCAATCTTTCTCTGTACCCTGAGGCTTGATCATTCTTCAGAGGCAATCCACGTTGTCTCGTTCAATTTCCGGATACAGGTGTCTTTCTTCCAGAGAACCCGCCTGAGGTTTGGGAAGCGATGTCCAAACCGCATTAAGAACATTGGTTGCGTTTCCTGTGGTTTGATAGAGGTAACATAGTTCTACCTTGTGGCTTGCCTGGAAGCATTGGGTATATTGTTCATGCCTCCAGCTTGTGACAGACATTCGGTTTCTGTCTTGAATGGAAGTGTAAAGGGCCTTTAGGGACATGTGTCCCGCACGTAGTTATTCCCTTCGGCTGTCTCGCTTAGTGGAGCCAAAAGGGTTTGCAGTGCAGGTGTTGAGCCAGAACCATCGCAGGCAGAGCCACTTTGCTCATAGTTCACAGGTAATATCAACATCATTAAAGGGGCTGTGCAAAGGCAGTCTGCAAGATCGTTACCTTAGGGATAGGCGCGTCATGGTACAGATAGATCTGCAGCCATGGGGAAGCAAAGAATGACCCATGGGGTTTGATTGGGTGTTCACTTCTCACGTCAGAAAGGAATCTCACCAAAACAAAAACAGACGCCTGAGCAAAGACAACAACCTGAAATTCGTGTTCCCCCACCAAACATCCTGAGCTCACGGGAAGACCCCAAGAATGCCAATACCCCGCCTTATGCAACGACCATGTTTTTAACCCCTTCTACTGTGGAAATTGACGGAGGGAGGTGGGTCTGACACGTTTTTTTTCTCTCGCCTGTTGGCTTCCCTGTTGGGGGGGAGGGAGGATCATGCTTTTGTAGCGACTGCACGCAAAGGTTCCTTTGTCGGGGTTCCTAATTTCAGGTTCTGTACCCAGGTTCACTTTGATTGGTGGAACTTTGGGTTTCAGGGTTATACAAGAGTCTTAGGGAAAAACCAACAAGGTTTCCCAGCTCTCCCTTTCACCAATTTTGGCCAAATGTTTGACTTGGCTATCCTTTCTTGGCCAAAACGGCACGATCCAACGGGGGACGAATCCTTTGAGAACCCAAGGGCTGCAATCGCTTGCTTTTTGTGTCCGGCCTTTCGGGGGTGTGTCTCCAAATAGGTGGACCCCTAAAGTTCAATTTCCGATGGACCCTAAAACAGTACCCACAAGGCATGCATGCCCATACGATGCCGCCAGGATCACTCAGTACTTTGCGCGCAGGAGGCCGGACTTTGAGGTCTCCTCCATCTCAAAATGTTTTGTTTTTGCAGGCTACCCTTTTTGGGTTGGTTCAAAGGGCAAGGGAAAACCGCCCATTTTGTGCGTCCCCCATTTCCAAGACACCCCCAACTAGGGGTCCGAAAAAGTGGTGAACATGTGTCCCTTTGGCCTTGCAAATAGCAAAGACGGGACGTCCACTTTGTTCCGAACCTCATGTTAGGGTAGACGGAATATGGAATCAGACAATGCGGACAATACGATGTTCATGTACCCTTGGGCCAAGATCCGAGGTTCCGTCAAAGTATCATGATGTTTTTCCATGGTCCATTTTGGGCTCGGGCCATGGCGAGAAAAGCTCTTCTATTTTCCCCACAAAAGTCAGGCGGCCGAGTTGTCCCATGTCCTCTTGGATACAAGGGAACGCGCGGCTCAAAGTGTTTTTGGTTTTGTCATTCTCGGTGGGTTCTGTTTACGGTTTGGAGGGGCTAAGAAATGTCTCTTTCCCTTGCCAGCATACCTTGGATTGGGATTTAGAAGTCCCCTTACGAGCGTTACGCTTTATTCCAGTCTGGGTCGAATTGGCCACGAGGCAACCCATATCCGCAAGTGGTGGTCTTGCGCGCTTTTTCTGACCGAACTGGGTGGGGGCTGCGGGCTAGGCGCCTGAACTTCTACATGGACCACTACCGGTTCCTCTACAAGTTCCGCCGCGAGCACTTCGATCGCCGGAAGTACCAGGATTTCGAAAAATGTTGCAACCCACGGCTTTCGCTGTCTTTTGTTCTTTTCTTGTTCTTTTTCTTTTTTTGATTTTGGGTGGGGTGGGGTTGGAGGGCTGGGTGTTGCAATCCTCAACCACTAAGCCGCTTGAAAGAAGGGGGTCCATATTGTCATTAAGAAGGGGGACAATGCTCGCACTACGCGGATCCATATTGTTACTCAACCGGGGGTCCACCCTGCCTCCCTGCTTTATAAGGAACTGTGCCTTAAGACAAGGGAGACCTTAGGACATCAATCTTCCAGGTACTGTGCCTTCAGCTTGGTTTCCCTTCAAAGCGACAAAACAAAGTGCCCTCAAAAAAGGACAGGTGCTGTATGGGTTTGTCCTTTTGGGTTGTTTTGCAGGGAACAAAGAGTTCCCTTATTTTGAGACGAGACAATAAAATTGGGAGGAAGGGTATATGAATCCATCCGCTGCAATAAGATCATAGCACCAGGACACTCAACGTCACCCTTCAGTGGCTGAGCCAGAACTCTTCCTTTTCTAACGTAAAAGTTGTTGAGTTTCCCTCGACGAGTTTAACATGTTTTAGCAACCATCCTTTCTTGTATATCTGGATGCTTGGTGTTCTTTGGAAACCATTCTTACTCGATTTCCGCAAAGGACACTAGTACTAAAGGGATTTTTTCTTGAAGGGAAACCTATCGCTTGTGCAGATGAGGGGTATCGTAATAACAAAAAAACATAGTTTCCCCACCGCCCCACATACCGCAAAAAAGCATCCAGCACAATCAATCCTTAAACATGTACACAGGTACAGGGGCCAGGGCACCCAACTTGAGTTCTATTGGATTGGTCTTTAATCCTTGGCTTTTGTGAAAATGATTATTTCCCTTATTAGCCTGCAAAAAGTTTAAAACAACAAAGTGGGCAGGGGCTAGGTGAATGTTCCTTGGGGATGCCTTTGCGGGGTAAGCTGGGCGATGCATCTGTCAGATTGTTTGCTTCTTACCCCCGAATCAACTGGCACCTGACCCTTTTTTGGGCTCCTTTGACAATTTGATCAAGAGCCCCAGCCGAAAGCGTTCCCTAAACCAAGCCCTGAATCGCAATATTCTTTAATTAGCTGGATCCAGTGTAAGGCCCGTTGCATGGGTCCCAACAAGTGGGTACCTTTCGCATCCCAAACCGCATTGTTCTGGAGCGAGCAGAATTCGTGAACCCATAGGAATGGGAGGGACCTCTTGGATTGTCCCGAAGGAGCCCCTCTACGTGAAGGACTACAGCACCCCGGAGTTCCGCGAACCCGGCGTGAGCTTTTGAGACACATGGGAATTGGCCAGTGCACAGTCACCGGTGACCAGGGCCATTCAGGATCAGCACGGGTCATGACCTTCCCATAGCTTCGAGTGTCCACCCCAAAGCGAGCTGCCAGGGACACACTAGCCAAGGGAAAGGGGCACCCAGCGCGCAGCCTCCCAGTACCACAGTTCCCCCGGGATAGTGGCTTGGGGATAGTGGAAACCGTGGACCATTACCCCACCCCTGCGTACTTCTTGTTTCCGAGATGTGGTAGATATCCTTTTTCCCATGTAAGCATTTTATAGAGCATACCTCAAAGGAAAGTGTGTACCAAGCGACTATTAACTTGTTCGAAACTGGTTAATGCAAATTGATCCACTTCACTCATAGGTTGCACCTATATGACTTGGAAGCTGAGCACAGGGTTCCAGCCCTGGGGTTGCCAGGATCGCTCAGTTCAGGGCCACCTCAACATACTGCATGCTTCACCGGCAAAGCCAGTCGCAAAGCCAAAGTGCCCGCCTGGGGGTTTCCTTATTTTAACGCCACTGTCAGGGCGTGGTGCTGTCACGGTCGCACCAATGTGCACGGATAAGGAAGAAGAGCGGTGGCCAGACAGTGACGCTTGGACTTTTGCCTTGCAGAAGGACCTAAACAATCCTTGCCTCAGGGAGCTCGCCTTGAGCACTCGCCAAGTTTGTGTGGTCGGGCTCGGGAGGATTATTCTTTGGCTTCCCTTGAAAAGAGACTCAAAAGGAACCCAGAAGTGGGGTATCCCGAAATAAGATTCAGTTACTAAGGATCGGTTTATTGAGTCTCATGTTCAGCAGGATAGTGCCCGATGACTGGACCCATTTGATTGGCATGGCCGGTTTCCAGTTTGGTCTCCCTTGAACCCCCACCCAAAACAGGGTTGACTTCAGGTGATTGCAAGGATGGACCAGCCCCCAAAAGGGAAAACAAGAAAAGAACGAACGGTTCATCCTACCAATATCTTCATTCTGGGCGCATCATGAGTTAGTTTCTCAAAATCGGGAACCCGTAAGATGGCTTGATTCCTTTTGGATTCCCATTGAAACCATCCAACATGTCCGCCGTTTTTGAGAAACCCATATATTTGATTTCAGCCCCCCCCCCCCAAAAAAAAAAAAGAAAAGAAAGGCAAAACAAGCAAGAGTGAGACTAATTGGAATTTCTTGTTCACCCTTGGGATTGCAATCGATGTTCCATCTCGACTCGTTTTCGCCAGGCTTTCCCGGCTTTTGGCCCGGAAAGTTTGGATATCCGCACAGCCAGGACAGGGTCTTACGGGTTGTTCCCAATGATTTGCGAGCCTGTGTTGTCCGCTTTCGTTTAGGGGGCTCCCCTTTCAGAGGGTGCCAATGTTTTCCCATGGCGGCTGGCGGTCTTGGGGGGGTTTGATACCAAAGTGGGATTCCATCCCCATGACTGCTTGATCACTTGGGGCGTTCTCTTGGTATCACAGAAGCCGGCTCCGGTTGGTTCCGCTGACAGCGGCCAACACAAACGATAAACGGCTGCAAATAGGAAATGAGTATGTTGCAATCCCCAAAAGGAGTAGTACCCTTAAAGCAACAACCCCGAATGGGAAACTGGCCCCAAGACGGTAAAACATGAAGAAGGTAATAAGGGACTGACTGTTTCAACCCAAGACATCTTTTTAATGCAGGCGTGTCAATCGCACTGGAAGAAGTGTTGATCGTATTTAGTTTCATGACATGTCGTTCAGAACCCGATTTCGGAACCTGGTGAATTGGTTGCAGTTGACTTTTCAGCGGTGAATCGGTTACCGGGAAGAAAAAAAACATGCCTTCCTCGTGATTGAAGCAGCGACTTTGTGAGGATCAGAGGGAGCAGCCCCTCTTGGAGAGCAGCGGCTGCCTGAGCAGCGAGTCGCAAGTCGAATTTAGGAGCAAAGGGGCTGGTCAAAGGCAATCCGCAAGATCGGGTTACGAAAGGATTTCGGCCTGAATCGTGGCTTTTCAACACTCCATTTTGAACTGCTCACCTAAGCGGTGGCTTCTGCCTATGGCCCGCGGTGAACATTCCTAAAGTGGTGACTTCTGGGTTGGTCTCGAACCTCGGAACCCTCAAAATGTGTGAAGGGTACCTTCGCAAAAAAGACCTTTTACTCTGCGCCATGGTCAAAATGTTAGTGTTCCCCCCATTCTTATAAACAGTTCCACGCCTGCCATGTGTTACCGACCAGGGAGTTGTGACAGGGACCTCCAGAGAATTTGGGTGTGTCTCAAAAAAGGGAAGCTCAGAAATTGTGGTTGTGCCTTTGGCTCCCCTTTCAAGCCAACCAGAAAAGGGTACCAATTCCAAGGAAGACGAGTCCCATTTGCACGCAAAACGCGCCATGCTGGAGCGCGGGGATTTTGGGGTGGTTTCAATTGAACAGTAAGCAAGCAAAAGAAGGGTGCCGTTCTTTTCCAATTGGCCGCTGGGGGGTCTCGGTTAGGCAAATGGCCACTTTCTGTGAAGGAGAATGAATCCCCCGTAAAGTGACAAAGAAGTCATGTTTGGTCAAAGTTACCAGTTGTCCATGACGGGGGCCTCACTAAATTCTGCCGCAAAAACGGGACTATTTCTTCCAACGCTCTCGGGGAGTCAGGTAATTTTGACCCGTGGACCACACATGGACACCCACTTTGGTGGCACAGAGGGCCTGTTCTCCACTATCGTGCAATCGCAACGCATGAATTGGGGTTGCCGATTGGTGGCATTCTGAAAATTCCATACTTTGGGCTTCTTGTGTTCCCAGACATTGAGTCAAAGGGTGATGCAAGCTCGTCGTTTTGATGTGCGGGGTTGTTGATTTGTTGCTTCGACTGACTTGTTCAAAGCCCTGGCTTTGGACACGGGAAAATGCTGCAAGGATTGGTCCCACCAGATTCGTGTCGAGAATCCAGGGCTGTTTCCCACAACCACGCGTAAATAAGGAATGTGTTTTACTTGGAGTGGCATGTCATGCCGTTGTTTTCCTTGGACGGCGACAACCCCGTTTGCTCTGGCAACTGCATTGCTGTTGCCCTGAAAGGTCCACACCCCTAAAGCACAAACCGAAAAAAAGGAGTGCAAAAGAAAGAAAAGCGAGGGATAATGCCAAACTGTCATGTTTGGCTTGGAGGTACTGGTTTTTAGCCTCAACCACCACATAATGTGTGGATGGGGCTACAGATTTGACCTCTGGCTTTGTGGCCAACTTGATTTAAAGGATACCCTTGTAAAGCAGGTTATTTTTGGTTGTAACATTTGAGCAACCTGTTCACCGTCTACCTTTGTTTTCGACTGGCTGGAGCCAAGACATGAGTTTCGAGTTTACAAACGGTTTCGCCCATCAGGCTTAGCTAACCATGTCAAGTAGCTGATTGATCATCGCCAACAAAGTCCTTTTTGGGACTTTGTAAGGCATGTGTACACCCTTGTAATCATCACCTTTGTCTTTGTAAAGAAAAGTGGTAATATCATATTCCCATTTCAGTGGCAGGCTCACCTAAAAGTGGCCAACCTGAAGAAGGACTTTCCGTTGGGCTTACCTTGTAGCTCACTGGTTAAGTCTCCGAGGTGTTTCGCGAGGTGAGGCCAAGACGAGCCCCAGGATCATGCCGGGCAAAGCTTGGCCGGATGAGTGAGTCGTCGATGGCGCAAAAGGCAAATCGCTGAGATGTGCCTTGGCTTGCTACAGAGACCACACAGTCCCAAAGCGGAGAACAGGGGCCATTGTGTGATACCCTGTTTGGGGTGGGTTTTAAAGGGAAAAGGGAAAAACCATCCAACAAGTGCACCACATATATGGGGGTTATGCCAACCTTTCAGGGGTATGATACTTTTGATGCCTTTGAAGCGAAGCCAACGGTAAAACACAACTGGAGGGTAGTCCCATATCGGAAGGCCCCCCTTTTCAAGTCCCTTATGCTGGAACGGACAACTGGGCTCGCAGGTTGGATCATTTGCCAAGATCAACACAGGATCGGGCCAGCAAACTCGTTTGCCACGAGGATCCCTCGTCCTCTGAAGGAATTTCGAAAATTCCCAGAAAGCGTGGCACATGTGTTCCATGTTCAAGACTGACGGTGGGCCATTGTCACATTATCATGATGTCGTTATTTAATAGGACCCCTTTCTTACAAACTCCAAGTCAAATGCTCTGACCCTGGCACACACCAGACAAGACGGGCATGTCCTGCTTCTGTTGTTTGGCGTGCCGTCGCTTCCTACCAGACTTGGGTCATGTCCACCTTGTCAAGCATTGTTATTGAAGCCACCGTTCTGGATGTATGGTGGAATTCCCTTGCAGCTTCCTTTGTGGGAAATGGGTAGTTACTCGTCGTTGAGCTGTTGAGGTATGTGTTGGATCGACATTGTCATGACTAGCACATGCTATTCTTCCTGGCAGCCAAAGGCCAAAATAGAATGCTACAGACACTGCAGCAAAATAATGCTTAGGATATGGGATGTTACTTGCTGTAGCAGTTGGACGTGTGGGCAACTCTGCTTCGGGCATATGCTAACATGTTTGCCGAAAAGGGCGGAACAAGCCCCAAGCCCACACCCCCAGGTTGTATGTCCTAACGAGTCACAAAAACAAGCCGGGTATTTGAAGCGAGGACTGTCACAGCCACACGGTATTATGGGGTTCGGGCAAACGTAGTGACCCACGGACGGTGGATGGATGTTGAAGCCAAAAGCGGGGAACCGGTGCAGCAGACGCCTTTGTCACGTGTTGATTCTGCCGAAGTTAGTCTAAGAGCCAGGGCCCCCTACAATTGGCCCATTTGGTGGCTTTGAGCATCACAGTTTCGGCCAATTTGAAGCCTGCGGTTTGGTGATGTTTAACCGTGCAGTATAGGAAGCCGGCTAGCATGAGTCAACCCTTGCGCCGGCCTGACGCGGAACATGCGAGGAACAGCGGCAGGAGGTCTTTGCTCATCTTCTGTTTGAAGCCCAGCAGCACAATACGAGAAGTGTTTTTCAGTGTTTTGGTGTTGGGATCAAGCAAATTAGGAAAGCAATTATTTGGCAAATGAGGCATGCAGTACAAGCACAAACGGCGTTCACCTCGCAAACATAGACAGGAAGCGGATATGATTGACTGCATGTGTGGCATGTTTACATATTTTGATGGCAGCGGTGTGCATACTCTGAGAATTGTCCAACTCTCGAAGTGCCTTAAGCCACGTTGCAGGAGATAAGCAAGCGCATCCAAAGATCGAGCCAAGCAAAAAACCAAGCAGCATTGGGCACGGGTTTTTCACCGCGCCCATTGTCCGGCAGCCCTATGCAGAGCTGAGGCAGTTTGTATTGCGGGCGAGCGCGCTTGGGTTCCCTATTTCCCCCATGTTGTCCTTTGGTGACTTTAAACCTCACCTTCTTGGCAAATTTAAGTTCAACTTCCTTAAAGTTGTCCAGTGCTTGAGGGGAAATATAGGGAGCCGTGGGCGGGGTAGGGTGGGGCGGGGGTTCGTGCGGCCTGCCTGACCCCCGCTTTCGGCGTGCGTGGGCTTTCCTGATTGGATTGCCCAAGAAAAGTCTGAGCCATAGCGAGGGATTGCTCCACAAGGCAAGCGCTAGTGTTGGAGAACATCGTCGACCTTCTTTGGGTACTAGCAGGCAACTAGCTTATTGCAAGCAAGCGGATGGAAAGGCCCCTAAAACTTGTAGCAGTTTCCTCTTAAAGGCTTCTTCCAAGGGTTCGGGAAAAGGACCACTTGTACTCCCTATATGTTAAAATGATACGGGTGGGTGTGTTTGCAAACGGCCGGGTCCCCGGAATGAGTGGTTCCATCTGCTTTCCTTTTCAAGCCACTCTGAAAAAGGCTAACATCAAAAAGAGGCACAGCCCTGAGTCACTGACAACATCATAGGCAGTTAAGTGTTGGTTTGGCAAGGACAGGGATGATATGATAAGTCGAGTTTCGCAGAAAACCAGGGCTGAAGACCACCGATCTTTTTTTTCAGATGTTTGGGAAACATTCGTTGGATCCTTTTCTATCTTGGGGATATTTCGGCTTTTTGGGGCCCTGTGACTGGACTCGCCTCGCCGATGTCTGCAGGCAGCCACATGCAGGCCGAATGTCGATGGACCTTCAAGCCAATCCGGCTGAGCCCTCAATCGCCGGTTTCCCCACGCGGGGTGTTGCTTTGGTTTACTGTTAAACCAAACCCAAAACGGGTACCCTCAACAAAAACGAGACACCCGTGACCCATGTTTATCAGAATCAGCCCAATGGTTGGATTGGTATCCGGAAACCAAAAGCAAAAGGACATCCCCCAGGTGTGTCAGAGTCCGCCCCATTGTGGAAAAATCCAAATGAGAAACAAGGAACTATAGGGTAAACCGATGTTACCCAAGATGATGGTCGCTGGCTTGGAAATTATGTGTTGTTTTTTGTCCCCGGTTTTGTGAGATTTTGTGATTGGCTCAGGGAGGGTTCTTGAGAATTAGGGGTGTTGGTAGACCAGTGCAGGAATGATCTTTGTAAGTTGTAAGTCTATGTATTTGTGTGGCTTTGCAAGGTTTGAGGTGTAGGGTAGATCGACTGATATGGTAGGGGGGGCGCAGCTCGTTTGTTCTGTTGACCCACGCAGCAAGCACAGAACAAGCGTTGTTGGTTTCTGCTTGCCTCAGTATCTTTGACCTCTGATACCCTATTATACGGGCCAAAGTTATTAGAATGGGGTCATGGGGGGACTATGGAACCAGGTCCGGTACATGTACATGTGTGTGTGTGTGTCTAATTGTTTTGCCCCTTACATTACTCGTTGCGTAGCCCATCGCGGGATCACTATGGGCTTTGCAGGGGATGCACAAGTGCAAAGTTACTATCCACATGGTTGCTTGGAGCCCGAAAAGACTGACCAAACCACAACGGTAGAAACTTGGGATTACACCGTGCTGTTTCTTTTCTAGGGTCAAATGTCTATCCTTGAACCTACTCGTATCAATTTGGCTTGACACCCAAGCAGAGACTCATTGCCTTTCGATCTTCCTGCGAGGTTAATGAAATCCTGTACGTGAGCTTCAATCAGGACCTTCGGAGGGCCTTCGAAGCGATTCGCTTGATCCAGCCGCTGGAACCTGGAACCCTCCCGAACCCTTTCCTACAACTGCTCCATGGACGCCCCAGCACCTTTGGAACCATCCGGATTGCAGAGTTCTTCCCACTGGCGAGCTTTGGCATCGAACCCTTCCACAGGCTGTAAATGGATGTGGGGCTACGAAGCTTGCCAAGCTTTCTCAGAGTACGTCAAAGTTTGCCTCACTTCCCGAGGTCCTGTGCTTGATACTTGTTGGGAAGGCCACTTTAGTGGCTAACGGATGCTTTGGGGACTTGTGGTGGCCCATCCACTCCAATGGCCTCCCAGAAACCCAGTGCTGTCTTTTTTGGGAGGGGTGTCCCTGTAAATTCAACCTAAGCCCAGAGTGCCACGGACACTGGACCTAAGCCTCCAACTCCCCGCCACAGGACTACACCTGCTTCGTTTGCGGCACCGAGAGCGGCTTCCGAGTTTACAGTACGGACCGGTTCAACTCTCGCGGGTTTTCGGGTGGAGACAAACGGAAGACGCAATATGTATGTCACGTTCGTCCAGGTCTACGGAGACCAAGTATGGAGCAGAGTCAGAAAGTACAAGGTTCTAATGACATTTTGGCCTTTCGGTGTCTGGTTTGGTTTCCTTGTTAGCACGGCCCCCAAATGGTTATCCTTTCATTACCTGGTCTTTCGGGGAAGTGAGAGAATCAATATGCTACTCCTCGAAAGCCAAACTTTGAGGAGTCTGGCCGGCCTGTTTTGGACAGCAACCCGAGTTTTTCGCGCAATCAGCCGATGAGGGCTCCCCTGTTTCAACTACAAGCGGGGGTGGGCGGGGGTTGGTTTCCCCCAGTGAAATGGCAGGAAACCTCTCCTTCTAGAGAATTATTCATAACCTGCTGTTGGTATCACAGAAGCGGGCGATTCCCACAACCCGTTCTCATACTCCCTGGAAAGTTGGCTTTCATACAAAACAATGAACCAATTCTATTCGACCGCTGTCTTTCTTGCCACAAAGCAGGCCCGACTCGGTCCACTTTGTCCATCATACAGAAGCTACTTTGGGGGATGTGTCAAAAAATGGATTTGGGGGAGCTTGCAAGGAGAACATGAGACCAATTGGCGGCCCCAACTTCTTACAACCTCGACTTCTAAGAAGTCCAAACGGCAGTCTTCCAAAAAGACATTCCTCTGCAGATGACGGGGGTGTTGGTTTCCATGCCAATCTGCCTGGCTCACATAGTGGTAAGAAGAGATCACCATGTTTTGGCTAATTACTTTACTAGGAGGTCCATTTCTTATTTCCGGTGTTGTTTTATTTTTGCAGCATTTTACACACTGCCAAGTTTGCAGGGAGTACCACCCTGGTTGGGCCAGTGGAAAGCAAACGGGCGCCAGGACCCTTTCCATCTCACCTTCCGGAGAGACTTCGAGGCAGGGCAGGGTGTGTGGCTAGAGCGTTTATGCAGGTAGCTGGCACCTGGCGGCTCGCAGAATTATTGTGCGATGTTTGAGACCAACTCTCGGCAAGATCTGACCGGCTTCCGAGTTCGGATTGAGTCAAGCCAAGAGGTGGCCACGAATGGGTTTTCTCCAGATTTTGCGTTTGGTAGGCGAGAACATACTCTGAGAATATATATATATATATGCTTCTTTGTGTACCCCACATGTGGGCCAAGACCATGGTCGAACACCCTTTATATTGAGGTTAGGGATGCACGAGATTCAACAAATCGTAGGGATGGAAACGGACCTCCATTTGTTTTTTTGTTACAAGCGGACCCTAGCCCCCTGCAAAGGAACACCAACAGGAGGTGGTTTAGGTCAAAGTGGCTTTTAAATCGGCTTTTTCATGTTGAATCAGGTGGCCCGGCCCTGTCGCACCAACCCAAGCAAGTCTCAGAGGCCCGTTTGGTGAAGGGGAATGCATCTGTTGTATCCTGGAATCCCTGGTAAATACGGCAACAAAGCCCATTCTGTGGTACCCATTTTCCCCCAGACCTCCTGTGGGTGCGATTGAGTCTATTGTTGGAACAGAGATGTTCTTTTTGCCATGTTTGGTACAATATGTTTTCCCTTCAGTGCCAGACACCCAGTGCCCTTTGTTCGACTTTTTTTGGGCGAGGGTGCTAAAAAGCGCCACTCAATAGGATGGCAGCGGCCTCGGCGTGGTTTGCATGCTGGCCCGGGGCCCCAGAACGCGTAGGTTGACCGCTGTCGAAGAAGTGATCCTGAGCTGTCTCTGTTAGAGGGACCTCCCTTCGCGGAGTTGGTGTCCAAGGCAAGAGGAAACCAACTTGTTTATTTATTTTTTTGGGGGGAGGGGGGAAGGGAGGGTCCTCTAGTTTCGAGACCCACCCACGTGTCAAAGAGCAGGTGGGGTGCCCTTCTTTGAAACTGACTGAAAACAGAATTCTACCCTTCCCCTTGCCATAATTGATTCCTCTTTGGGTAACCCCTTTCAATATGATTTTCCTCTGGATGTTACCCTACCTGGATGTTCTAAGTTTGGTTATAACCCCTTTTTCAGCCTCCCATCTGTATCAATATTTAACTTAACCCTGTTCCACGTGGGTTACCCGGACTTAAAATTTGCTACTTGGCCGAACACTTGCCATGGGTGCTAAGCAACACAAGTTGTTTCAATTTCACGTAGAGAAAACCGAAAAGGGCATGAGCTGCTTTAAAAGCTGTCCAAACCCCCAGTTCGGCACTCAGGGATTGACCCCAAACTAAGCCATCCCTTGTGGTGTCCTTTATGTTCTTGGGGTGGCTTCCGGCTTCATTCCAGGAATGCTTCTTGAAAAACCACCCAAAACCAAAGGACAATGGCTAGTTTGACAGAATGGTTCAAAAGAATTGGGACCCTCGCCCCACTTGAAACCGTGCCCCTCTTCAGCCATTGTTGCCTACCTTCCCTTCAACATGCCTCACGTGCAAATGGTGAGGCTTCTGCGCTATGCCAGTGTTCAATCTTCCGGTGTGGCAGTCATCACCAACATCATGGCTGTCGGGCAAGCATGTGCACCACCTGAACATTCGCAACTCAGTGTCTGCTAGCGGTGCACAGCGAGAGAGTGTCGCTGTGCGCGTCATTTCGTGCGTTGCCCTTTTCTGGAGCAAGCTTTGACTCCCAGCTTGCTACGCTCTCTGATGCTATTTGGTCACTTTGCTTTGGTGCTCTCTCAGCAGAACACCTCAAACTAGCACACCCTGAATCTTTTGCTTGTCACATCGCACCGGGTCGAGTTGGGCATACTGTGCACCAGCCGGGTCATGCATCGGGTTTCGTGCCCGCGTCCAATGCAGCGTCTTGGTGTGTTGCGGGCGAAATGAAGTTTCGCGTTCGCGCACCAGGGTCTTATACATGCAAAGTCGAAAATGGATTTGTGCTGTCCCAGCACGTTGAAGCCCACCATGGGGAACCGCCCCCTAGAAAAGTAAGTTCACTCCCGAAACAGGGTTATTTCCCCTTGAATGAACCTAGTTTATGGGCCTTTCTTACTTGCGATTTCTTTTAACCTGAATTTACACTGTGCAAATATGGATCGGCATCAACGAGAAATAGTCATGGGGACCAGGGGGGCGGGGGGGCGCAGAGCTGAGGCAAGTTACAGGGTGGTCTGCACCTCCGGTTCTAAGCCAACGGCGCTCTTTCTCATCATACCAGAAAAGAGCAACTCTCCACTTCAATCTGCATCCCTGGTGGGTTTCCTTTGAGGGTTGCCGCCGTCTACATGCATTTGTATGTCCGAGGCTTTGAGTAGCTTGCCATCATGTACCATGGCCGGAACTGGTAAAGGGGATAGCGGGGGGTACAGATTCTGAATTGCAGAAACGTCCCGAGATGCTGATCATGATTGGAGAGGGCTTCCCATCCCAAATCATTACCTCTCTAATGGCTGCGGGATTCTGCCAGGGTTGAGCACTTCAACCCCTCGCTAAAACATGGCGCACTACCACCACCGACGGCCGTTTGGTTTTTCAAAGGCGACGGGAAAACTTGGGAAATGGCGCTAGCTGGAATGATTGCACCCTTTTTTATTTTTCTTTTTTTTTTTCGGATGACAAGAAGGGAAGCCTCCGGGAGCTTCACCCTCGATTCGAAGCTCTGAGTTCCGCACCAACATCCTGGCCTTCTCCGGCGGCGGCAAGAACCCGCGCTTCCAGCCCCACAAGGCCGTCACGGAGGGTGGAACTCCCGTTCTATTTCCCCCCAGTTCCTTTGTGGGCGGCTTTGAACATCGACTTTTTTGATTGCTACGAAATGAGTCTTGCCGTTGGGTCATGTTGAAAGGGAGTCCTGGGACCGAAGGGCACCCATGGCTTTCCCCCCGACATGGGCTTCAGTTTCCTTGGTCAACTTGCTGCAAAGCAGCGCTTGTCCGTTTTGGGTTTGTGTGATTAGCCATGATTCATTTCATCATCAGGGATGTCGCGGTAGTGACTGACCTGTGATGTTTGGCTCAAGTTTGCGGGTCCGTCGCGCCTCGGATGAGCGTCGCCGGGTCCCCGCTTCGATCACCTTCGTGTCGGTGGAGAAAGAGACATCGGCCCGGGGCAGATTGGTGGGGTCCGCCCGTGCGGTTCATCGTCGACCAAGGTTGCGGGTACTTGTTTACTTGTTTTGGTATTTCCCTTTTGGTTGTTGTTCTCTGGTGTGTGGGAAACCCTGATCTTTGGGACCGGGGATTGGTTTGCTTTTGGGGAACCTTTCTTTTGTGGCTTGTTTACCCCAACTTACCCATTGCCTGGGCACAGGCTCGTGCCCGAATCACAGTTTGCTTCATCAGATGTCTTAAGATTCAACCCCACAGGTTGGCGTTCTTTTTAGGTCTGTTGGTTGTAGTTATTCAAGGTGTCCCTTTGGTCTTCCGCAAAAGGACAACATCAAGAGAAGGCGTATGAAGGCGTACTCACCAGTTTCGGCGTGCTCGGAACCATTTGCTTTGCGAGTTTCTGACATATTGACTCTTTCCAGGGGCACAATATGACAGATGCGCGCCCTATTTCTCGTAGGTGGGCCATTGACTGCATGGCATGACTGCCTCTCGGAGGTGTGCCACAGAATCCGCGCCGCGCATCCGCGTTATCACCCGAGCCACAAGCATTGCGCTCACATTGGCAATGAATGACTGACGCGCTACACAAAGATGGGCTGTGTAAATATTAGACCATCGGAAGCCAGCATTTTGCATCTCATTGCTTCGGAGACCTTTGGAGACCTGTGATGTGCGGAAAATCACAGGGATCCCCGCGTTCCCCTTTCACCTTTTGAGAAAGCCGGGTTCGAGTGAGCTTCCTTTTGGTGGGTGATGTTCTCGGGGTGGAAATAAAGGGATTCCAGCTTCACGCCGCAAACCTGGCCTGGGTGGAGTTTTCCTGTTCAGCCACTGTTTTGGAGAGCAAGTGCGGCGCACTCACCAAATCCAGTACGTTTGATTTCCCTCATGCTGTTGGACCATCGTTCATTTCGGAATCAGCCGTTTCCGTTGGGTTCTGGGCGGCTTTCTGGAAAGACAAATATGTTGTGTTCAGAATATGGAAGTCAATTCCTCCTGGAGTTGATATTGACCGTGGCGATGTCCATCTGCGTCGATGAATCTTGTTGGAAATGTTTGCCCTGCGTTTGCATCGCCAGACTCTTGAAACGCGTTCGCCGTTCATTTCATTAGTGACACAGGCGCCCTTCGCCCTCTGCTGCATTGTGAGAAATGGCTGTGCGAAAGCCACGTGAGGCGAGACGCAAAGCCTTTAGAAGGAAACCCTGGCAATTAGCCCATAAACAGGACACAAGCATGTATAAGCCCAGGGGGTGCCCCAATGTCCAGAGTCGAAATCCTTGAGGTGGTGCTCTGGGACGACCGCCACACCCGGGTCATGGCCGAGTTGAGCTTCAAGACGCCAGTAAAGTCCGTCAAGCCCGACGCCCAGAGATCCCAGACGTCCAGGTGGCGAATTCGCCCTTTCAACTTCTGGGAAGGGTGGGCTCCTTTAAAGTCAACCACAGTGGGGGCCTGGGGGATTTGAAGGGCGGAGTCCAGACAGGTGCCGAACCTGGCCCAGTATGAATTGTGGTCGCAAGCCCCGCTTTTCCCTTGGAAATCCACTGCCCCATGTGTTGTATGCGTCTTAGGGTCATACACCCTCTGGTGGATCTAAACGAACACCGGAATCCCATTTTTGCCACAAACCCAAAATATACGAACGATAAGACGCATATATTTGCTGGGCCCACCTTACGGAAAAATATAGCAATGGCAAACGAACAGTTTAGATTTGTTTGGCCTATCCACTCAGGAAGTGAGGTTATGATCATAAGAGAGCCATGTAATGTGTTAGCCTTATATTTCCCTCGCTAGAATCCGGCGGAGACAAAGAGGGCCGTAGATCTGGCTCAAGCAGTTGGAGGCTTCTTATTCGGGAACCCGGTCCGACTAAAGATGATCTTGCAAAACGATGCCAGAAGAGAAACATGTGATGTGAAGGCCCTGGATCCGTCTCTTTGGATCCAAAGGGAAGTCTAAAGTTGCAAGGACCTGAAAGTTATTGCTTCTAAACAAAATACTGCTTAAACTGCTGACCTTGGCAGATAGCACGGTCCTTCAGTCAACTTGAGTTTTTGTTCCAAGCTCAAGACTGCAGCGCCAGGCTACCCAATGAATGGATCTGCGAAGTTCTTTGCTATCAGGGGCTTGCAAAACCGAATTTATCCAAATCAAAAGTTGATCAACTTGCTCGTGGCTTCAATGAACTGCCTCCTTTGGATGTCCACCAAAAACGGAATTGAGGAACCCCGCACACTGAACGTGTACTCAGATTGGTGGTTGGCGTTCCCCGGTTCAAGAACATGCTTCAGGTGGGATATGGAGGTGCGGACTCTTTTGGTACCCTCTTGTGGCGGGTGTGCCCCTACTGCGGCTGGGGTTGGTACTATCTTACATTGCCCGTCTCAATGAAGATGGTGGCATAAGAGAGTTGATAGTTAACACATGTTAATACCTATGTTTAGGGCCAAATGTTGACCAAGAAGGCCCCCTGTGCCTGGAAAGAAATGCGATCGGCTTGTCTCAAAAACCGAATGGGGCCCGGAATGGTTGGTGCTCTTTTAATTCATTTCCCTGTAGGGGTCCCTCAGAAAAGATCCCCTGACCGCACCAATCTCTTGGCCAACTTACCATGCCAAGACCGGACACTTGTGCCCAGGATTACATCTCTCAGGTTGAAACATCAATTCCTCCACAAAGGCTTAAACGCAAGGGCTTGGGGCCTGGGGTTAATATTTAAGGATTCCCAGTTGTTTGGGCGCAGAAATCCTCCTTTTCCTTCCCAGACCTTTGGACCTTTGGACCCCAATCCCATTGCCAGACTTAGCTGAGTCGACGTTTGGTCCCGTCTTGTATCTTTGCCCTTTGAAGCCTGCTGGAAGTCAAGATATAAATCCTAGGTTGCAGGCTGAACGTTGGCCAAGTGAGCCACAATCAAAGCCTGGGCAGATGAAGAGCAAGGCCCAGCCCCAGCCATAAAGAGTTGCGGCCGCCCTTTGGTTCTTTACTTTATTGTAGGGTACGTAGGGCATTTGAATACCAGGTTTGGATTGTGGCTCAGCCCACGTTTCTTCCGGAGGCCATCTTCCGAGCCACGATGCCTTGTGTCAGCTGCGTTTCGAAGCGCAGGCTCCGGCGTGATCTCGTGGTGGTGGCCACCATCAACAAGGCGCTCGAACGCAAAGGAGCCCAAGTAGACCAGCTGTGAGCAGCTCTAAAATCCCCCCTTTACATCCCGAGCAAGCGTGGTGTCATAACAAGGCCACGAGTAAGTAAAGCCCTGCACGGCGTAAGCCAGCGTAAGCCGGCGTAAGCACCTTTTGGGGAAACATGCTGGGTAAGCGCCCTTGTAGGCTTTTTTCGGTAAGCTTTGTAAGCATGCTCGGAAGAGTTGTTTCACACATATTAACCAGGCTCCCGCCTGCTGCCGCCGACCCTCGGCGCATTAAGGGAAAAGTCACAAGGACCGGTCCTGAAACACGTCCGCAAACCCAGGGACCACTTATAAGATCCTCTACGACCACAAACAAGGATTAACGGAAAAGTCAGAAATAGGGCAGCTAGTCCGTTAATTACCGCTTGGGCCGGCTTGCGCCCAAGTCACTTCGAGTTGGCCCGGGAGCAGTCGCCTCTCCCGGGGTCGCCCTGAAACTGGCCCTCCCGAAGTTGACCAGAAACAAGGATTAACGGAAAAGTCAGAAATAGGGCAGCTAGTCCGTTAATTACCGCTTGGGCCGGCTTGCGCCCAAGTCACTTCGAGTTGGCCGGGAGCAGTCGCCTCTCCCGGGGTCGCCCTGAAACTGGCCCTCCCGAAGTTGCCCTGGACCGGTCGCCGGCAGGGACCGGGACTTGGGACCCTGTCCAGGCTGGTCCCAGTCTGGCGCGGTTTGACTTGACGTATTGGACTCTCTTGCAGAATAGATGGGATCCTCTACTACCACAAGGACGTCAACAACCGCACGGGCCGGCTTGGTCGCAGGGTCATGGGTGCCAGTCCGGAAAGGTGTCTGGAGCGGTTTGAGGCAGCACAGCATATTGAATTGGGACCCAAGACCAGCGGTCACACCAGGACTCGATCCCGGACCGGTCCCAGGACTGGTCCTGGGACCGGTCCCAGGACCAGTCCCAGGACCGGTCCTGGGACCAGTCCCACGACCAAACCGCTGCCCAGGACTGGTCCCAGGACTGGTCCTGGCACCAGTCCCAGGACCAAACCCGGGTCCTGGGACTGGTCCTGGGACCAGTCCCAGGACCAGTCCCAGGACTGGTCCCAGGACCGGTCCTGGGACTGGTCCCGGGACCGGTCCTGGGACCGGTCCCAGGACTGGTTTTGGCTGACTACGTAATCCAAAACAGCAGAACCAGGGTCCCAGGACCAGTCCCAGGACTGGTCCCAGGACTGGTCCCAGGACTGGTCCCAGGACCGGTCCCGGGACCGGTCCCGGGACCGGTCCTGGGAATCCACTTTTTGTGGGTTCGGGCGTGTCCCCCAGGGACTATCATTGATTCCAATCACTTCCAGTTGCATCCCACGCCGGTCCCCTCTGCAGGAGGCTGGAACGGGAGGCAGAGGGTCGGCGGATTATGTGAAACGCGTTGTTATTGCTGGCTTGTGCTGTTTTGACCTAGTCGAGCTTGGCAACTTGCCCGGAGACTTTGGCTGCGCAGGAAGACGTCCAAGACCGCATGTGCGCACGACTAGAAAACAAAACCAGCAGAACTTGGATTGGCTCATGCCAGGTGCTGTTGAAATCTGTACTAGGTAGGACAAACAAAGGCTTCTGACTGAATCCGCGGATTTAAACTAAAGAGGCTAGGGCGGGCAAGCTCGCGTAAGCAGGCGCGTTTCGCGTAAGCTCGCCTGGCTCGGCTGCCCGCTAGCCCTTGCCATAGACGCCGCCGTTTCTTGACCTGCAGTAATTAAGAACAACAACGCCAAGCCGCTGAAACTCGTGAGGGTAGTGCTTTGTCATCTTCTTCCTAGGAGTCATCCACGTCATCTTGAGCAGTTCTGGCGACCGTGTGAAAAGGACTTCGTGTAAGCAATTCTTGAGGGGAAACGCCCAAAACACCGACGCGTAAGCGCGCAAGCTTAACATGCTCGCTGACTGCCGCATAAGCTAAAACATGACAAAGCGCAAGCTCGCACGTAAGCAACCTGATACTTTGGGATTCATGGGATGTTTATAGAGGCGCTCAGCTGGGTGTGCCTTATCATTGGAGATAAGTTGTTGGTTCCTTGTGATTTCCACTCCCACATTTGCGGGAGGCCATTCTTGGTTGGTTTCCAAGGGGCCTTAGTTGCGTTTGCATGCGCTGGCAACTACGCAGTTCGGCAAGGAATTCCACATATCGCTGCGGCAGCTCAAATCATGATGCAGCTTGGGTTTCGTCTGGTCACTGAGGCCATTTCATTCCGTTCCTTCCTTTCCATTCCCAGCTCATTTCATATCATGTCATGTGCATCATTTCATGCAAGCTCATGTTGAATCTATGCCGTGTTTTTGCTGTTGCTTATGTCCTGTACATGTTCATGCTCACATGGCCTAAAGTGCAGCTTTAAGCGAGCCAGAAGTGATCAATGATTTATGGAGGGAGGAGGTTCAAAGCTTTGCTGTTGCTTGTCCTCGTTAATTTCCTTGAACAGGCGAAAAGAGTGCCGAGCCTGCCGAGAACAACACGCAGCCACACAACCATTGGTTGCCAAGAGTTGGCACTTGCGCGTGATGAAGCTTCCCTTTCTTGGAAGGGAAGTGTATTGTTGGTTTGGCTTGGATGGTTGGCTTGGCTAAAGCTCCAAAGCTTCCTGGGGGCTTCTCCTGCCTTGGGCATCCAAATGACAAGTTGGCCTAAGATGATTTCCGACACTTTTTTTGCATGTTTATTGGTTGCTGAGTTTCCGGGCTCTGTTCGTGTTTAGATGGGGGCTGCAAGAAACAATGGCCCTGTTTACAGAGGTGAGGCGTCCTTTATTTGGTTTTTGAGCCACATCCCCTCACTTCGGCAGTTTCTAAAGTGTGTTTGTGTTTTTCAGGCAGATCAGTTTGGCAGCACCCCTCAATCAAAATCAACTGGGAGTTTCTCCATGGCTCTCATCCTGGAGCGCTTCCCATCTTTTTGGGTAGAGCAATGTTTAGGTGTGGGTTCTAGAGGTATGGAAGTTATATGAGCAAAGGTCAATATGAACCGTCGTTGTCTGTAGTAACGGGAGTGTCATTGGGCACACTCACCAAACTGCCATTAGGGCATAGGGTTACTCACCAAACTCCCCATGTCAGTTGGGAACACAACAAGTACTGACCGTGGCTCCTAACTTCAGTCGTTTCAGAACTGACTTGAATCATTGAGGTTTACGCCCAACCCAAGTCACCAGGAAAAATTGGGCTATCCTTATGGCCATCCACTCAATGAGTAATTGGCGCCTGGGCCTGGACTGTGAGGCTCCCCTGCACCTTTTGAAGCATCGCCAGGTGTGGGCGTACGGATTCAAGACGTTGAGCCTTTTGGACTCCATCGAGACCAGCAGCAACCCCAAGGGCCTGGGCCCCAGAGACGAAAACCCTCTGGGCTTTTCACAGTCCATGTTTGGCTTCTAATGTTGACCCGGGTCAATCAACTCATCCAAGCAACAAGGGGGTGTTCCCTCCAAAAGCAAAGAACAAACCCTAAAGCCAGGAGTGTATTCATTTGGGGATCCCCATGAGGTGGACTCAATCCCAGTGACTCATTACCCGCGGTTCTTCTGTGCAAAATAGTTGAACCCCTGCACTAGGTGTGTGCATATGACTCGAGCCAAGACCCCGAGCAAGCGACCAGCTTCTTATGGGCTCCCGTATCTAAGGATGGAGGCCCAGCGGGCTTCTTCGGCTCCCAACACAAAGATGAGACGTGACAATGTGCTCGTTCCAAGCTCCGTCACCACGGCACGCACTAACCCTGAGCGTGTCCATCGCGCCATGGGTGGATCGCATGTACCATGTATGGTACGCGGCAAAACCCTCTAGTTGCCTGCACGAGCGGGCAAGGTGCCCAGGAAGCCAGGAAGGGGGCTGCAACGTAATTAGATTCTATGTTGGTATGTGGAGTCTCCATGACCCTTGACATCAGGGGTATGACCCCTTTCTTTTGGGCAATGGCAATGACCCCATTTTTGAGGGCCATGGAGATTCCAGGTATGAGTTTTAATAGGGGACCTCAGAGGGTGGACATCAGAGTTCGGTTGAGTTCCAACTCTTAAAATTCATGGCAATGCGTCTGTGTCCACCACACCGAGGAGTGGCTAATGGGGTTCAGCCCATGAAGCCCAGGCTTGTGCTGCCTCTCCGCTGGAGAGAGGGTGGTACTTTGCTGCCCTGGCATGCAGCAGGCGAGCGATTGGGAGGGAGCATGGCGAGCCAAACCCAGACCTCCAGTGCCCTGTTGCCCTGTTGCCCTGTTGCCCTTGTTTTGGAGGAGGCTTCCCTTCAAAATCAAATCCCCGTAAAAGGAAGCCCAAATCAAATCCAGCGGGTGTCGTTTGTTTTGTCAAAAGGAAATGGTCATAATGCAGTCTTACATTTGGCACGTCTCCAGAAAAAGATTAAGGGTGAAAATATACAATGTGTGTTTTAGTGGCGCTGCCCCCAAAGCCTGCCATCAGAGCTTGGAATCAACCCCAAGGATTCAACCAAAAAGTGCCTCGCTCCTCAGGTTTGTGGGCTTCAAGCTCATCCAGCATCTCTATGTGTGGTAAATAGAGCAAAGGGTAGCTTCCACTGGGCAAAAGGCTGTTGGTCTCCAGTGTAGGCATGTCCCGTTCTCGGCTACCCCATAAGTTGATGCCAGCGAACCAGCAGTTTGGGGGACGCGTTGTAAGACAACCCTCAAGTTGCCACCGACCTTTTATTTTTCCCGTTTTGGTCCATGGTTAGTCAAGGTCCCAAAAGTGAGCCTGTCTTAGGGCAAAGCGGCCCGGTCTCGACGAAGCGAAGCGCAGGGCAGCGTGCTGGTCGCTTTTTACTCCAACGGCTTCGGCGACCCCGCGGCTGCTTGGCCGATTTCGGCAGTTTTAAATTGCAACGGGGCTTGAAGGTTGAGTGTCTCACAGGCTTGGAGATCTCTCAGGACTGAGGCAAGTGTTTGAAATTGCAGAGGTGTTTTTGTTCAATTCCATGGGTTCCTCCATGTCATTGGTTTCCATTAAGTTTGCCTCTCCAAAGCGTCCCAAACTTAAGTTTGAGACAGGAAGCAGCCAAAGGGGGCTGGGCCCCAGGTTTCCAGTCCCATGCCTTGCGGAACTTGCGATTTTAGTCGGCTCATGGTGGGTCAGAGTCACTTCCTTTAGACTTTTTCAGGTCTGCCCAAAGCAGAGAGAAGGAAGGCCCAACCCGCGCCCCGGACGTGCCCTTTCGCTCGCTCGCTCGAGCCCGAGTTCCGAGGCGCCGGGAGAACGAGAACGCACGATGATCATTACTGCCCACGACGCTTCGCTGTAAGTTGCTGGGGAAAATTATCAGGGTCCACCAGGAAGAGCCTAAAGGAGCTTGCTTACCAAAAGAATTTGCCGAAAGGGGAGACTAAATAATATGAAGCAGAATCTGAGATATGATTTCCACACAACAGATATGGGCCAAGGGCTACAATTTGGCTAGACAAAAGGAAGGTGGGCGTTCAGACTTGGTGTTGATCGATTGTGGACAGTGACCTCGGGAATCTCTGATGCTAATCAAAAAAAAAAGCAACAAAAGCCGCCTTTTGAGTTCCACCTTTCGGCCCCTTGACTTAAACACATTGCCATTGCTGACTGACCTTGTCTGACCTGTTTTCCTTTTGGGGTCCTTCTTCCCTTGGAACCAACAAAGGTTGGAGGCTTCGTTTTCCTTCCACTGGGCCCCTCGTGCCCTCGCACTCACCATCTCTTCCAATATTTTCCGTTGTTGGGTTTTAAGAGAATCTGTCAACACTGAACACTCGAAATATGTTTGTTGTTTCCGGGGGGCATAAATGGAAGATGGGGATGCAGCTGTTGCCATTCAGGGACATTTCAATCCTCATCCGACTGAAATAGACTCTATGCTTCCAAGACCATGCGTGTCCTAGCACTCTGGCCGTCTCTATGGACCATCCTTGGTCCCCGCACCTTGTAAAACCATATAATATGACAGCTTTGAGTTACTGCGCCCTTTACAGAAAGCCTTCCGTATATGGCGATTTCAGGGACACTACAAACCTTCACTTGTCAAAGTCAAATCCCACCAAGACTACTCTACCGACCCTCGTGCAACTTACGCTCGATCTGGAAACCCTTGCGCAGAGCCAGCAAATAATAGTTATAATGGACTTCCCATCACATGCGCTCAAAAGTATGATTGTTCCAAATTCAGGCAGGACCAGAATCGATTGCACTCCTCTTGGATATTTGCGTCCGGCGCGTCTAAGCACCCTTCCAATGGGCTGCCCTGTGTTGGCAAGCTGGTGATCACCCAAGTTGCAGAAGTCTCCCGGGTTGAACTCATACTGTTCCGAATGCCTTTGTCAACTCACTCCGCACTTTATCGGCAATCGTCGGCGCGATATCCCGCCTTGGGCACGCGCCCAAAACATCAAACTTGCCTCGCCCATTTGTTGCTTGCCAGGAGACGTTCACTCTCTATTTGTTGACTTGACTTGTTGACTACCATCATGTCCACTGCCCTCGTGCTCACCCACCACTACCCCTCCTTGTGGTGTAATTTGGCTCACTTCGTCTGCCCTACTCGCTGCTCGACCTAGTCCAGTAGTGTTGCCAACCATGCGTGAAGCAAAACAATAGACTTGTTGCTGGGGGCTTACTGTAAGTCTGGCCAAGAATGTAGGATCAGGAATCCTTTTGCTTCTCCCACAAATCTTCCTTTCAACAGTGCTTGTTTGGCAAATGAGGGGTCTCCAGTCAAAACCGCCTACCAATTAGCAAGATTCCCGGAAAGCGTGATGATTGTGCATGAGGCTTTCTCAGAACTTTGAGTTGGTAGAGTGTTTGTTCCAGCGAAAGGCCCCCCCAAAAGAAACATACGAGCTTATTCTGGCCAGTCATGTGGGCAAGTCCGCGAAAGAAAGCAACCGAGAAAACATGCGGAACGCCGCAAGCTGAGGATTCGCCCATTGCCGCAATGGCCCTCGACAGCAGCTGCCTTGCTGGCGTGTGATTCGAGAAGTTCGTCGCGGAGCCGGGCCTTTCGAGCACAGTTGTGCTGTGGATTGCTACACATTTTGGGGTGTCATTTTTTGAGGGTACCCCATTTTTGGTGGCTTTGAAGGGAAACCAAAAGGAAAACCACCATTTTGGGTACCCCAAGAAAACACCCATTTTGGGGTGTTATAGGACTATCAACCGTTCCATACTTGAGTCAACCCACTCGTGTGACTGCGAGGAGGTGGAAAGGGAACTGTGCAGGAAAAGGCAGCAAGGCATTGACGCGGGCTGGCTCCGCGGACCATTGGCTTTAGTATCGCTTCATCAGGTCGCCTAGCGAAACGCTTTGGGATTGCGCAAGGCTCCAAGACTCGCCCCATAGAAAATTACATGGTGTTGATGTCGTAAACTGCCAGGCATCAATGCACATGAACTTCAGGGCAGGGGCGAAGCAAACGCTTGTGTGGGAGGTCGGTTGACCTTCCAAGAGCATATCTTCAACAGCGTGTGTTTTATAGGTTGCTGAAGTGGGCCTCTAAAAAAGGGCTGTTACATTTGGCTTTCCTTCAAACCAGCCCAAGAAGGGCATGTTTTTTACTGGGGGATGGTAGGGACAATCCTGGACCTCTTGACAGCGAAATTAGACAACTGTTGTACTGTGACTAGTGAGGACACCATGCCCATGGTCCACATAAGGAGTGTTGACCATGTCCAGCTGTATTCCTTTGGGTTTTTGGTTACCCTAGCTTTGTTTGCGCATCGAACTCAAGGAAGGTTGTACCACTTCTGGGCCTGGAATTCAATCGACACCAATTTCTGCGGCCATTTATTGATTTGCCTGAAAGCTAAATGCGTTTTTTGGGTGCTTGTCAAAAACCTCCCACAAACTGTGTAAGGAACATGCCTGCAATACTTGCTTCCTGAGTTCCTGGTTATGCTTCTTGAGGTTGGACCATTTTAGTGGCAAACAAACAGTTTGGTTACCATGTGTTGGACCATCCACTCAGCAAGTGAGTGGAGATGCCATTTCCGACAGATGATTTGGAGACAGAGCCGCCAGGTTCCTTGCTCGCCACGGCTTCTGAGAAGGGCACTATCGTCAGAGTCTATGCTGCTCGGCCGGACATCCTCTGAACTGAAGGCATAGCTGATAATTTGAAGTGATTTGCCTAGGAGGCTGACAGGGGTCGAATAATTGCATTGTTGACTTGTTTATCACCCTCGCCCATCTTTTGACACACTTCCTGAGTTCTTAGCCTGGCTCTTGGACATGTTTGGGGCGCTAAACATCAGGCTGTTCAAGAATTAGAATGGGGTGGGGTACTTTGAAACCAGAAACCATGATAATAAAAGAAGAAACAATTGTATTTCGGACCTTTATATACCTGGAAGTGAAAGCCTGTTCGACGTATCTGATGTTCAATTGGCCAAGCAAGCAACCATTTGAATCATACAAAGGTTTCACCACCAGACTCTGGACCACGCCCCACAATGTTAACCCCGGAGTACCAAGCCCCTAATTCTAAACTGCAGCCCGAATTCTAGTGCATGTATCACGCTTTGAAGCCGAATTTCAGGAACCCTACCAACCTCCCCCCAAGACAACCTCCAAAGGGTTAGTGATCACTTCTTTTGCCTTATGTCGTCCTTAGAGGGGAAGTAAGGCCAACTTGCGGCCAAAGAACTACTTGGGGTTGGAGGGGCATCTTGGGAAGGGGTATGCTCTAAAGGGGTCTGGATCTCCACTGGAAGGTATTGGACCTCAAGGGCCGTTGTGAGGTCGACACGTGTGGTCTGTGCAACCAGTGTCCGGGTCCTGGCCGCTCCCAGGAGACTTGCGGCGACGGGCGCCCGCAGGAGACAAAGCAAGGGGTGCAAGACAGGAACGATGGGATCTCCGGCCCCAAGACTAGCTGCATATTTCCCAAACACCCGGTGGTGCACTTTTGTCCTTTTTTTGGAGGGGCTTTAAAGTCAAGCCAAGAAAAGGATCCCCTTTTTCCCATGGCCGCTGGAGGTCTAGGATGTTTATGCAAGCTCACTGATTCGGAGGTAAAACAAGCGCTTCAGCCCATGATGCAGGTTCTTTACTTGGGGATTCCTGAAAAAAGGTACCCAGTAAAGCTAAAAAGTTGCCCTTTCGATTTATACGTTTGTCCCTTGGCGAGCAAGGGACACATGGAGGGAGGGTGTACCAACTTTGGGCCCTGGAGGTACATATTGCTCTGAAAAGCCCGCACATTGAATTTATCCCAAAGCCAGCCAAAGGGGCTGGTTGTTTTGCTGGTTCCAGACCGTTTTTTTTAAACCATAGCACTAGGGTTCACCAACCTGCAAGGGGTTTCAACCACTTGGTTGGATTTTTGCCTATGGCAGCTGCTTCAATCGCTAATTTCTGCCACTGTTGAATCGAACGTGGGCTTCATCCGGAGAGGAGATGAGGCGTGGCATCGACCGGGCAGAGGCCGGACTTTGGACCTTCAGACTTGGGGTGCTTCGAATTGTTGTCCGTGTTTGAGGCGCAAACCGCTTGCGTGCTTGTTTGTTGTGAGGGGACCCGTGCGGTTAAGGGAAGCCAAAGGAAAACGGACCCAATGACCCACTTCGAACTTTGTTTATTTTGCCTGACCCATTAAGAAACCACCCAAAAAAAGGTACCGAGCCTCAAAAAGGATGCGCCCTTCCTGGGTGTGGGCCATTTCTGTGGCGAACCAATTCTTGGTTTGCAACACTGCTTTTTGGTTTGGTCAATCCACTCCTTTGAAAGTGACTCGTGTGCGGATCTGACCTTCAGGGGCAGCCAAGGCGATCGATCACCAACCACGCCCTTTGCCTTTGTGAGCAATGATGTGACCCGTTTCCTTCGCAACCCATGTCATGCGTTTTGCTCTCTGCTTCAGAAGGGTCGGGCTATGCTACCCCAAGCCCCCAGTTGCTTATGAACTCAAGACTGGGTGGCAATTTGCGGCCTGATTTTTGGCTCCGCCACTTTCTGTACGGTGGTTAGGACTGGTGGTTTATCAACCTGCAATCATAGGGCTTCATCCATACTGATGCCTGACGCGGAATTTGTCCATCCACGGGGAATCAAGTCATGGGTACCAAGCTTGCGGAACTTGCGGTTCCCGAATTCTCCCAGATCCATTCGCTCACCTTCGGCGCTACAGGCGCGCCGCGTCGCAGCCCGTGTGAAGAAAGTCGAACCCAGAAGGGTGTCGATATGGGTATGTCCTTCTGGGTACCCTTTTTGGGTCGGTTGAAGAGGAAACTAAAGGGAACCGCAGATTGTAGGGGTTTCCCAATTTCAAAACAAACCCCATATGT